ATTGTGACACTATAACGCTTGTTATCAGCGAAGATGACATTGCAAAAAGATACACATAAAAAAGTCTCTCTAAGCTAGAAAACAGAATTATACGCAATAATTTGTCTGATACACCTTGTTATAGGGTATGCTCTCTCTCTCTCTCTCTCTCTCTCTCTCTCTCTCTCTCTCTCTCTCTCTCTCTCTCTCTCTCTCTCTCTCTCTCTCTCTCTCTCTCTCTCTCTCTCTCTCTTTCTCTCTCTCTCTTCTCTCTCTTTCTCTCTACCCCATGTTATGATTTTTTCTCCTTTTCCTTCGTTTCTCCGTTTCTCTTCTTTCCTCTCCCCCCTCCCCCTCATTCCTTCCTTTCCTTCTTTCTTGCTTCCTTTCTTCCTTCCTTCCCTCTCTTTCTATCTCTCTTCTCCCTCCTCCCCCGCTCCATTTCCTCCCTCCCTTCTTCCTTCTTTCTCCTCCCTCCCTTCCTCCCCCCACCCCCTTTATCGTTAGCACAGATGCAAAATCAGTTCTTTCCTCTCGGCATAATCTCCCCTCCCCTTCCCCTATCTTCCCTCCCCCCCCCTACTTTCCCTTCCCCGCTCCTTACCTTTATTTCCTTCCCCCACCCCTCCTTTCTTTCCCTTCCTACCCCATCCCTTCCCCCCTCCCTCCCACCCAAAACCTTCTCCTCCCCTCCCCTTCCCCACCCTTCCCCATCCCTCCTCTGCCCCCCTCCCCTCTCCATCCCTCCCTCCCTTTCTTCTCCGTTCCCCACCCTCCATTCTCCCTAGCTCCCACCCCAACCTTCTCCTCCCCTCTCCCCATCCCTACCCTCATCTCCCCTCCCCTCCTCTCCCCATCCCCACCCTCCCCATCCCCACCCCCCCCCCCCCCCCCCCCCATCACTCCCCTTCTTCTCCCTCCCTCCCCTCCCCTTTCCCCACCCTCGCCTTCCTCTCCCTCCCTTCCCCATCCCATCCCCACCCCTCCCATCCTCCCCTCCCCCCATCCCTCCCCACCCCTCCCCATCCCCCCCTCCCCACCCCTCCCCATCCCTCCCCACCCCTCCCCACCCCTCCCCACCCCTCCCCATCCCTCCCCACCCCTCCCCATCCCCCCCCACCCCTCCCCACCCCTCCCCAGTCGTAAAAGCCTTCCTAAAGATCCTCCTCCTCGATATTTACGAGCGTCTGAGTATCTTTCTCAAGACGCTCCTCGGTGACGTCACACTTTTGCCCGATCCGTGACGTAATCGACGGAGGGTTTTGTTTCGAGCGATCGTGGTTTCGGATCTAGTTTGTCTTTTTGTTTTCTTGATTATTCTTTTGTTTTCTTTTGTTTTATTTGTTTGTTTTCATGATTATTTTCTTTTTTGTTTTGTTTTGTTTTTCTTTTCTTTCTTTTTTTTTTTTTCTTTTTTTTTTTGGGGGGGGAGGGTTCTGGGTGGGAGTGGGGTGGGGAGGTAGAAGAGGATAGAGGAAAGGGGAACGAAGGAGAGAATTGGAAGGAGGAGAAGGAGAGAAAGGGAAGGGAAGAGGAATAAAGAGATAGGAGAGGATGAAAGAGAGAAGTGAGGGGCAAGGAAAAGAAAAGGACAAAGTAGAGAGGACAGAATAGGAGAGATGCGAGAGAAGAAGAAAAGGGGGAAGAAGAGAGGAGAGGGAGGAAGAAAACAAGAAGAAGTGGAGAAAGAAAAGAGTAAAAAAATGGGAGAAGGAGGAGAGGAAAGATAGGAGAAGGGAGGGAAGTGATATAACTCCATATAACGAGGTGTTTGCTGCTGTCGTTCCCAGGATCATTGTTGCCAGATCCCTTGTTCTTTGTACAGCTGGTTTCAGTATTGCCATCTCGTCGCGATTCTCAGTGATATTGTCCAGTGATACCAGATAAATGCGTCCAATCTAAGAGAGGTTAATTGCTCGTATATATTTATTAGCAGAACAACCATTATTTATAGCCCTTTCTGTTGAAACGCCAACTTCCATCGTAAAAAAAGTCAACCTCTGCTGTCCTATTTATACGAAATTTATACGCTATTTTTCAAGTCTTAAGATAGTCAACAGTCAATAAAAATCACCAATGCCATTCATAAATGGAAAAATCACCTTTCGTTGTTTTATGAATAAAGCGCCAACACATTATTAGCATAGTCACCAACCTTTTACCCTTAACGTTGAAGCAGAAAGAATGTCCATCACCAATCATCATTTTTAAACCCTTCACACGAAACAATAACAATCAACATCACCGTTCCTCATTCTTTTAACCCTTTCACACGAATTACCAAAAATCATCATCACCAATCATTATTTTCTAATCCCTACACGCGAATCACACAATCATCATCACTAAGCCTCCTTTTAAGCCTTTCACACGAAAGAATAACAATCAACATCATTAATCCTCATTCTTTTAAGCCCTTCACACGAACCGCCAACAATCATCACCACCAATCATCCTTTCCTAATCCCTACACGCTAATCTCACAATCAACATCACTGATCCTCATGTTTTTTATTCCCTTCACACGAAGCACCAACACTCACCATCACCAATCCCCATTCTTCTTAAGCCCTTCACACGACACAAACAATCCTCATTATCCAAACCTCTTTACCCCCCCCCCCCACCTCTCCCCCACGCCTCCAGTAATCCGGCACTCCTCACGGAAGCCTGAACGACGGACACGTACGGAGCACAAACAATCCTCATTATCCAAACTTCTTTACCCCCTCTCGACCCCCCCCCCCCCGCCTCCAGTAATCCGGCACTCCTCACGGAAATCTGAACGACGGACACTCACGGAACACAAACAATCCTCATTATCCAAACCTCTTTACCCCCGCCCACCCCCCACCCCCACCCCCCACCTCCCCACGCCTCCAGTAATCCGGCACTGCTCACGGAAATCTGAACGACGGACACTCACGGAACACAAACAATCCTCATTATCCAAACGCCTTTACCCCCCTCGCCCACCCCCACCCCCTCTCGCCCCACCCCCCCACGCCTCCAGTAATCCGGCACTGCTCACGGAAATCTGAAGGTCGGACACCTACGAACAAGCGTACATCCGCAACACGAGCAGCAGATGAACAAAGCTTGCGTTCTCGACACACAATTAGGTGCGCTGAGGGTTGGCTAAGTCCCATGTGCGGTCAGCATCCACGCTAATCACTGGGTCTAATACGGAACAAGAGAACTGCATTATCCTTCTCTTACGTTCTCTTCCATTGTCCATGCTCTGTTTATCTTGTGTTTTTGTTTTTGTAGAATTTTCTTGTTTTTGTTTCCTTCTTTTATTCTATTTTCTGTTATGATTCGGTGACGTCAGTTTGTTTCTTGTTTTCTTTTTTTGACATTCTTTTATTAATTCATTTATTTATTTATTTTTACATTTTGTTCTCTATTTATCTTCTTTTATATAGCGTTGTTTGTTTTCATTCTCTATTATTTTTTCTTCTCTTTTAGTTTCTTATCTTTCCAGAGCTGATGAGTCATCACTCCTGTTTCTTTCTTTTCCTCTCTGCACATCATTCTCTCTCTTTCTCTATCCCTCCCTCCTCCCCTCCCTCTCTCTCTCTCTCTCTCTATCTATCTATCTATCTATCTCTCTCTAACTCTCTCTCTCTCTCTTATCTATCTATCTATCTATCTATCTATCTATCTATCTATCTATCTATCTATCTCATCTTATTATACTTACTACAGTATATGATAGGGAGCATAACTCAGCTCGCGCCTTGCCTGCCTCTCTCAGTCAGCCCAACAGAGAAACGAAGAGTGAGCGCCGGTTTCTGCGAGGGTCAAGGTCGGGCGAAGAGGAACTTGTCAATTCATAAAATAACAATTTCTACTTTATGGAATTGGCTTAGCTCAGTGGTAGAGCGCTAGCTTTGCAACTGCGAGGTCTTGGGTTCGCGTCCAATTACCTCTGTCGACTCGGTTGTGAGTGAGTACTGGTATGCTGACATCAGCATGTTGGGGTCAAAGTCCGGGCGGAAAGGAACTGGCCATCCTACCGCATTATCCCGTGGCTTAGTTAGCACGTTCCTATAGGGATATATCCTACGCGTCCTCTTGGATATCGGGCCAACTTTGGCTTTGGCCTTTCTGTGCTTATTTATCTTCCCTTTTCCTTATCACTCTATATCTTTCTGTTATTATTCATTCGTGGATCTGTTTCTTCCCTTCTATTTCCTTATTTTTGTTTTATTTATTCTGCCTCTCTGTTCTTTCTTTTCTATCCCCACTTCTTCTACCTTTCTTTATCCACCTTCTGTGTGTATGTTTATGACCACCTGTTATCATTTTCTTCCCCTCCCTTAGGCTTCTATTTAAAGATTTTTCTTTGATTCTATTATGGTTCTCCCCTATTACTTTTTTTCTCTTGACTTCTTTGCTGCTTTTCTCTCTCTCTCTCTGTCTATCTATCTATCTTTTTATCTATCTATCTATCTACCTATCTATCTATTATTTTTCTTTAGTTTCTCCCTATTTCTTTCTTTCTATTATTTCTCATATGTACTTTTTTCTTTTCTATTTTTGTTTTCTTGTATTCTTTGGTCGCCTTGCTTTACCTCTGAAACCTCTTCCTTCGCTTTTATTTCTGCTTTTCTTAGTCTCCCACGTAACTTTACATTTCAAATTGTCTTTATAATTTAATTTCCAAATTTTTCTACCTTTTCCGCTTTTGCCTTATCTTTCTCTATACATCTTCCATATTCATCCTCCTATACATCTCTCTTATCACATCCTCTTTCCATTTCTTCTACGTATTTCCTGCTTAATAATTTCGTTTGTCTGTTTTTCTCTTTATTTACAGTTTGTTTATATCATGTTTATGTTTCTGAATCGTCATCATCATTACCATTATCATTTAAATAACTGTTATCATTATTGCTACTGGTGATATCATAATCATCATCATTATCATTATTACTATCATTATTATCATTATTACTATCATCATCACTTCATTCTTATCATCATCGGCGGCCACCTTGATACAGCGGCTAGGGACC